TGCAAATGAGGAAACTGAGGACTGGGCAGGGGGTGTGAATCACTCAAGATTCCACAGCTGATAAGCATCAGAGATTTACACCTTGAGTCCTTGGATTTGAGTACCAGAGCTCAAAAAGTTATTGGAATATCATAATGTGAAGTATTAACAGGTATCAATTATTAAATGCAAGCTCACAGGGAGCATAATTTGTTCCACCCTTTGTAAGTATTCTTTCTAGTTTTAGCTATGAGTAAAGTAACTGGCACATAGTAGGTGCTTAGTGAACGCCTGTCCATTGATTTAATGATTGATTAGTTGCCCTACCCATGACTGCATCTCATATTTCCGTGACTTTGCATTGGCTGTCCCTCTCCTCACTTCTGTCTCACAAAATCTTTTTCTTCCTTCAAGAAGCAGTTCAAGTACCACCTTCTACCTGAATCCTTTTCTTAACCTCTTAATTGCTGGTGGCTACCTTGTTTTTATTTCCTATATTTGGTCTGCACATATGTATATATACACACACACAGATAGATAGATAGATAGATAGATATCTTTTGTCTCCCCTGTTAGAATGGAAACTCATTGAGAAAAGGGTTTGTTTCAGTCTTTGTATTTGTATCCCCAGTGCCTTGTATACAGGAGTCACTTAATAAATGCTTAACGATTGGTTGCTTAAATAATAATATAATAAGGTGGCATGGCATTTACTACCAGAGTAGTTGTTATCATAAGAAACATGGACTGGATGGCCCTTCCAACTCTAAACCTAAGATGCTTGGATCCCATGCTGGTTTCCTTACTTGCAAGCTTAGAACTACATATTTGTAAATTCTTTGAAGAGACAATTAGAAGGCTGTGCAGGAGCTAGGTCATATAACTCCTAAGATGACTGCTAGATTTTCAGTGTATCTGCACCTTTAAACACTACAAATCAGGGTATGATTTAATGTTCTGTTGATTGTCTATAGCTAGGGTGGGAAACCTGCAGCCTGGAGGCCACACATGGCCTTCTAGGTCATTGGGTGTGGCCTTTTAACTGAGTCCAAGTTTTATAGAACAAATCCTTGTATTAAGGGGATTTGTTCTGTGTGGTTTGGATTTAGTCAAAGGGCCACAGTTGAGGACTTAGAGGGTCACATGTGGCCTCCAGGTCACAGGTTCCTCACCCCTGATACCCATAAAACAGAAGCAGAGAGCATAATGGATTAGAAACCAGAATCCAATAATATGTTGTTTACAAGAGACACACTTGAAGCAGAAAGACACACATAGAGTTAAAATAATCTAATTATGCTTCAGGTGAAGCAATCACAAACTCAGAGCAAAAGCAAAACCAGACCTAATTAAAAGATATAATCAGATTAACAAGAGATAATATATCTTAAGAGGTACCATAGACAATGAAGTAATATCAAAACTTTTACAGTAAGTTTCTCTGTTAAAGGCTTTCTCAAATATAAAGGTAACTAAGTCCAATTTATAAAACTAAGAGCCATTCCCCAATTGGTAAAAGGTCAAAGTCAGCTTTTGGAAGAAGAAATCAAAGCTATTTATAGTCATGTGAAAAAATGCTTTAAATCACTATTGATTAGAGAAATGCAAATTAAAACAACTCTGAGGTACCACCTATTAGAAATGACAAATGCTTGAAGGATGAGAGAAAATAGGTACCTTAATAAACTGTTTGTGGAATTGTGAACTAGTCCAACCATTTCAGAGAACAATTTGGAACTATGCCCAAAGGGTTAAAAACTGTGCACATATCCTTTAATCTAGGTCTATGCCCTAAAGAGATCAAAGAAAAAGGAAAAGGACTAAATGTGTGAAAATATTTATAGCAGCTCTTTTTGCATTGGCAAAGAATTAGAAATTGAAGGGATGCTCATCAATTGGGGAATGGCTGAACAAATTGCAGCATATGACTGTGATTGAGAACTACTATTTTGCTGTAAGAAATGATGAGGAGGTGGTTTTAGAAAAATATGGCAAGACCCATATGAACTGACGCAAAGTGAAGCTAGAAGAATTTAGAGATCATTGTACACAGTAACAGTTATGACGATGATTGACTGTGAAAGATGTGGCTACTCTGATAAATACAATGATCCAAGACAATCCCAAAGGACTCATGATAAAAAAAAAATGCTGTCCACCTCCAGGGAGAGAACTGATGAACTCTGAATGCAAAGTGAAGTATAATTTTCTACTATATATATCTGTATCTATATATTTATATATCTTTTTTGGTGATATGGCTAAATGGAAATATGTTTTGCAAGATTTCTCATGTATAACTGATATATTGTTTGCCTTCTCAGTGGTTGGGGGACAGGTGGGAGGGAAAGAGAGAATCTGGAATCAAAATTTAAAAAGAAGATTAAAAATAAATAATAAGTAAAAAAGAAAAGAAAATATTTAGCAGCACACCCCTGAGATGTGACTCTGAATTTGTCTCATTTCGAACAGCATTCTTTACTCAGGAAGCATAAGATTCATTCAGTCTCCCCTGGTAAGTCACAAAATAAAGCTTATGAGACCTCCAGGGAGTCCCTATGTCTGAAGAGTGCAGTTGCATGATGAAATATTTAACATCCTTCTGGGGACCTTCTGGTACCCAGAATACAAACCTTTTGTGGATCCAGAAAAGGCAATTTCGTTTAAACAGAAGCCATGATCTTTTGATTCAGAAAGGAACAGAGGGAGGAAATGATTAGTCACTAGTCAAGGGTGTGATGAGTTAGGCTTTTTTTGGGTTGTTGCTATTCCTCAATTGGAAAACTCAGGAAATCAGAAGAGGGAGGAGAAGATGATAAAGTGCAAAGCACGAGCACAAACAATATCTATGTCAGCCAAGAAGAGCAGGGGTGATTTCAAAAACTCAAAAGCAAGACTTACCAACGATTAATCAATGGGGATAACAAAGGATTTCTTGAAGCCTACATCAGTCGAAAAATGATAGATTTATGTTCCAGGAGATTTCCTATCCTGAGGCAATGATCATAGATTGAGTTGGAAGGCATCATAAAGGCCATCATAGGGGGGAAACTGAGGCCTAGATATGTTAAGTGACTCTCCTAGGCTCACATATCTAGTAAGCATCTGAGGTAGTATTTGAATCCAGGTTCTTCTGACCCCCAAGTCCCACCTATTATGCCATGTTGCTCCATAAAATCATATCAGGCAGGCAAGTTTGACTTCTTAGGTATTAGAAAAGTCATTTAATCTCCTTGGGCCTCTGTTTTCTCTTCTGTAAAATGAGGGGGTTGATCTAGATGATCTCCAACATCTCTTCCAGGTCCAAATCTGTGATCTTACTTTTCTGACTTTGGACAAGTCACTTTACTTCCCTGTGCTTCAGTTTCCTCATCTGTAAAATGGACCAGATGACCCATAGAATCCCTTCCAGCTCTAGACTGATGATTCTTCTAGCAAGGATTATCTCCTCCCAAAAGGCCACCAATATCCAGAAGTTCTCTGAGCTACCTCACTTTTCTTCTTTTGTTTTTAGAAACCTTGAAGTGTCCATGTCAGGAAGAACATCTTGAATAATTCTACTGGGACCCTTTCTCCAACCTGGCCAAAATCCCCATTTCCCCAAAGAGTCCCAAGATCCTGTTTACGGCTTTTGGCTGGATAGATCCATTTACATGACAAAGATGAAGCCTCTGAAGCAGCCAACATCAACGAAAGTAAAACCAAGAGCTTTAACTCCATATTCTTGTACCTTGGGAAAATTTATTGAGGGAGAACCAGCAGAGGACAGACTGTTAGCACCTTTGATTATAGATTTAGAGCTGGAAAGTCCTTAAGAGACTGCTCGTACAATGCCTCCATGGATAAAGAGGAAACTGAGGCTGGATTAAGGTTGCACAGGCAGTAACTGATAAAGGTAAGATTCAAACCCAAGTCCTCTGGCTGAAAACTCACTGATGTGCACTGTATGTATCCCATCCCCTAGGGGGTTCAGGATGCATTCCCATGGTACTGCCAACAGTTATGGACCCTATGCCTCAATCTCAGTAAGAAGGAGCAGGTGGAAAAGGGCAGTGGAAGGGAAGATGGATTCTGCCATAGAAGACATCACAGTAGAATCTGAGGGGCAGCATCCTTGGCTAGGCAAGTTAAGAAGCCACTGGAAAGCAGCATAGATGATGCTCAGAGGTGACAGGATGAAGACAGGCTATAGAACAAGGGTTCTTAACTCTTATTACAGACTCCTTGGGCAGTCTGGTAAAACCTAAGGATTCTTTCTCAGAATGACATTTTCAAATGCATAAAATAAAATACGATAACAAAGAAAACCAACCACACTGAAATACATTTATGCAAATACTCCTAAAAACACAAGTTTATATAGCCAAGAATAAGAACCCATGGTCTAGAAGGGAGTGTGCTCCATCCCCAATTAGCACCTAAAACTCCAGTAACCCTACCCTAATTATAGCTGTGTTCTTCACTCTAAAGATGGAGGCTCAACACTGTGGGAAGCTTAGAGGAGCTGTTTTGATGTCTGCTACTAATTCCCTGCCATCTGTGCAAATAACGGAGACCAAGCCTGAATAAAAATGTGATGCCACCTGGCCAAAGGTCCATGGAATTGGAGCCGTTCATTTTCACTCACTGACTCTGTCATGGAAAAGCAGACAGAAGAAGATTCTATAGACAATGTCTCATTACCAGAATGCATTTCATGGGATCATAAACCAAGGGCTGGAGGTGGCCTTAGGGGCTATCTGGTCCAACCCTCCCATTGTACTGATGAGGAAATAGAGACCCAGAGACTTGCCCATGGTTATACAGGTTGTAAGTAGGAGAGCCAGGATTTGAACCCAGGTCCTCTGACTCCAAACACAGCAATCTTCGCAGTGTGCCATGATTCTAAGCACTCAAGACTGGTGAAGTACAACTAAATGAAGCAGTTAATGATGAATGAGAGTGTCCTCTTTTCATTAAAAAATTTCTTATCTCTCTGGAGAACTATATGTATATCTTCAATCTTCCATTCAAACACTTACCTCCTTCTCCATCTGCAAGCCTTCTGCTCTGATATTTCTTTCAAATACCTCCCTCTTTTCAGTCTGTGGGTTGGTTTTCCTGTACACAAGGATGTAGTCAATCCGACATTTTCCATCTCTAAAATAAAGTCCATTGGATCTGTTTTTTTCTGGTGCTACCTGTATAAAAAACAAAAAAAGGAATCCATTTAATCAGCCATAGAAACTGAGACTTGGTGTCTGTGAGAACTTATTCTGAGGTTAAGTGAAGAAATATAAATAAATCACACACCCCACCCCCCAGTACAAATACTCTTAAGAACCTTTGGGACTTTCTGCCCACCCTGAAGCTGAGCTCTCCTATATGTGTGGTCTCCCGTAATTACAATATCAGCTTCTGGACAGCACAGGCTAGTGTTCCTTTCTATCTACAGCCTTTCAGCTTAGCACACAGTGAGTACTTAATAAAGGCTTTTCTCCCGATTTATACACACACGTACACGCGTGTAGCTGGACATGTACACTTATACAAACATGCATGTATACATATGTATCCATGTGTGCATACGTGTACACCCTGTGCATATATACACACATATACCTATGTGTAACAACTAGAAAGATAAGTATGATTTTTTCTGGCTTCTGAAGTTCATTGTCATTGAATGAATCAGTGATAAAACCCTAAAGGTAGGGCTGCTGAAAATTTGGCAGACTACAATCAAATTTCCCAGATAGACAGACTTTATTTCTTTTTTTAAGTTTTAACTGATGTCTTTTATTTTCATACTACAGTCATTTCCTGATACTACTGCCCCTACCCTCATCCCTTAAACTCACTCCTGTGACAAAGAAAAGTAGTAATGCAAAGGCAAATAACAGAGTGAATGCACTGTGTACCTTATATACCATTTCACACCTATAGCCTCCCATCTCTTTATAACTGAAATTAGAATATGATGAGTAGTTCAAAGGAAAGTCCAAAGTGCCGTGACCAACTCAAGAGGGGAGATGGATTCCATCTGTGGGGCTTGGGAAAGGCTTCATTTAGCTGGTGATATGTGGGCAGAACCTTGAAGGCACAATCTCTAAACTAGATTCTCCCTCATCTAATTCAAGAAGAAGGAAGTATGTTTTATGAACTTTAGAAGATCAATTTCAAAATGGCAGCAGTTTTACTCAACATTGGGAGATTGGAATAAGAATCTGGGGACAATTTCTTTCATTCACTTCCTTGCCCAACAGCATAACTGTTGGGTCTAAAAGGATGAGCAAACAGTACTTAAAGAATTCCTAATTGTTTTCCAGAATGGTTGAATAAGCCCACATCTCCACAACAGTGTATATATGTTTGATCATTTCTAAGGTAAGAAAGTAAAAAAAAGAAAGTGGTGGAAAACAAATGGGCACAGTCTGTTAGTTACTTGCATACTTGGTTATCTAAATTTCAAAGAAGGTAAATAATAAAGTCATTTGAGATGGGTCTTCCAATGATTGTCCATTCTTATCACTTAAACTCATTACATGTATTCATCATAGTGGTATATGGACACAATCAGGGTAATGGGGCATACAGTTGAGCAAATATTTATTTTGCCAAAATGACATCAGACGGATGGAATTAATCCACATAGTAATTGCAATGACTTTCTAGATTGCATAGGCACATGGAAATATAGGCAGCCTTAAGACAACAATTATTAAGTATGAGTTATATGAAAAGTTAATGGTATTGTGGATAGAGCTCTGGCCCTACAGTCAGGAATACTGAAGTTCAAATCTGGCCTCAGACACTTACTAGCTGTGTGACCCTGGACAAGCCACCTAACCTTGTTTGCCTCACTTTCCTCATCTGTAAATGAGCGGGAGAAGGAAATGGCAAACCATTCCAGAAGCTTTGCCAAGAAAATCCCTAATGGGGTCATGAAGAGTCAAACATGACTAAACAACAACATATACAAATTATTATTATTATTATTATTATTATTATTATTATTATTATTATTATTATTATTATTATTATTATTGCTTTTTGGTAAGGTGATTGGGGTTAAGTGACTTGCCCAGGATCACATAGCTAGTGTCAAGTGTCTGAGGCTGGATTTGAACTGAGGGCCTCCTGACTCCAAGGCTGGAGCTCTATCCACTGTGCCACCTAGCTACCCCTAATGGCAAATCATCATTCTTGATGTGAGAGTGTACTAAGGAAGTTTAAGACTCCCAGGTCTTATATCCTATTCTGGTAGAGTTTATTACAAAGAACAATCAAATGGCCAACCAACAAACACTTGTTTAAGAGAAGCTTTATTCATGTAAGTTAGATTTTATTGGGTACAGGAATGGGACTAATTGACTCTATTTCCAACTCAAAGGTTCTTTCCATCATGTTACAGGAGAGAAAACTGGAAGAGTCCTTAGAGATCAATAAGTCCAATGTCTTCATTTGGCCACTTAGGCCTGCAGAATCAAAATGACTGGGTCAACATCACACAATGAAAAAGCAGAACTTAAACTTACAATGTCTTACAATTAGTAAGTTTCCCCAATTAGAATGTAAGTTCCTTGACAGCAGGGAACTGTTACACTTTCGTTGTAGTATCCCTAGCACTTAAGCGTCTGGCACACAGCAAGCACTTAAAACGCTTGTTCATGGTTTAATTAACTGACTGGCAAGCCTAGAACATGAACTCAGGTTCTTCAACTCTAAACCCAGTTCTCCATCCACTATACTACCTGCCTTTCCATAACTAGTTGAATGGTTACTTGGGAAGGAGTTTGTGCATTTTTTCTTTGAAAAGTAGGTATCATACAAATGTTTTCATGATCATACCTAGTCAATAAATTACAAAGGGAAAGTAAATAAATGAATTTTAAAGCAATCAATGAACACTAATACACTTGGTGGAGTTGTGAATTTATTCATGACCCTTCTGGAATAAAAACTGGAATTATGCAAGAAAATGGCTCAGTCCTTCACACCTTTTGACACAGTGACCACATTGTTAGGCATATAGCTCATGGAGACCAATGACAGAAAGAAAGGCTCCTATATAAAAGAAAATAATCATAGGGTACTCTTTGAGGCAGCAAAAACATGCAACTGGAAAAAAGTGAAAGGCCATCTACTGGGGAATGGCTGGACCAACTGTGATATATGAAGGTAAAGGAACATTACTGCACTGTAAGAAATAATAAATATTATCATTATTGTCAATAATGCAGAGAAGCATGGGAAGACTTGCATGAACTGATGCAGAGCAAAGTAGACATAACCAAGAGAAGAAAACGGCTACAATCATGGTCACAAAAAATACATCAAGAAAGCAAATGAATTCAGGTTCATTACAATAAATAATCTTTCTTCCAGAGAACAAAGGGTATAAAGAACACATGCTCCCTCTTTGTACTGGAGGTGGGTGACAGGCGCAGAAGGTAGCGTGTGCTGTCAGTCACAGATGCTTTGTCAATCCTCCCTAACTATTTTTCTTTATAACAAGAGTAGCCTCAGTGTTGGTGGTGAGAGAAGGGGGAAGCGTATATATTTGGAAATGACCATAACATAAAAAAGGAAGGAAAAGGAGTCAATTAAAAAGAAAAAAATGAACACTAATTCACAAATAAAAATTCTTCATTTTCAAATGAATTCAACATTCATCCAAGAAGTTCTAATTGATCAATAGCCCATAGGCACAGCATATACTGAGCACTAGAAAAACATATTTTCACCTTTTGCTGAGGGTACAGAAGGTAGAATGTGCTGTTGGGCCTAATGGCAAGAATTACATTTTCTATCTACACTAAGTCTTACCTCTCCCACTGCTTCCAATCTACTTGCATCATCTGAAGTACTGGTCAAATTACCAGGGTGAAGGAGGGAATCATCATCTTTGCAAGGACTATTGACAGCTTCTAATTCATCAAAAAAAATGTTGACATCCTTGGCCACTGAAAGGAAAATAAAGAGAAATCAATTCAGGCTTCCATTTTGAACAAATCAATAGACTTTACAAAGACAATTAAAAATATTTTCCCCATCAATTATAGATATGAGGGGGACATAGAATCTCAGCCCTATGTATCCAGCAAAGTTTTCAGAAATATCCTCAAATAAAACAGAAATGCTTTCAGTGGCTCCCTATTACTTCTAGGAAAAACATGAATTGCTCTGTTTATCACCTGAACCCCTTCTGTATCTGACTCCAGTCTACTTTCCCAGGCTGATTATATATTGGTTCCCTTTGTGCACTCAAAACTCCAGTCAAACAGGCCAATTTGATCTTCCCCATATGTGACATTCATTCTCCCAACTCCATGCTTGCATAAGTTGTCTCTCAAAGCTACAATGCTCTCCCCTCTCACTTCCACCTCTTGGACTTCTGATGCCTTTTAAGGCTCAGCTCAGGTTCTGCTCATTCAAAAAACCTTTCCTGATTCTCTCAGTTGCAATCCTCTCCTCTTCTCTCTCTACCCACTCACCTTATATTTATTTTTCATACATTCCATATTTATCTCTGAACATACTACCTCCCCTAATAAAAATACGTTTGAATGCAGAGATTGTCTCATTCATTGTCTCTGACTCCCCAGAATATAGCATAGTGCTTGGCACATAGTAGGTGCTTCATTAATGCAGGGTGGCTGGGATAGGAGGTACCATTTTATTTGAAAGACAATAGAATGAAACCTGGTCCTCTGCAACAATGAAGGTGTGAGATGAAACTGGAAGAATAACATCACTAAACCTAGACCCCATGAACCATTAGTTCTGTCAGAGATGTCAAACACACAGGCAAAACCACAGGGGCCACAACATTCCCAGTGTCATAAACTAGATTAAAATGAAATTGGGAAATATTTAACAAAATAAATAAAGACACAATAAAACATAGATAATGTTAATATATGCTTTTCTAAGTCAACATTTGCCTGCAGGGGATCCTTTTATTGATACTATTGATCTACACCGACAAGTAAGTATTCACTTGGGCCAAATTGCTTTTCAATCAGGAGTTCTCAACCAACCTGGGATCTGTGGACTCTCAAGTGGTCTGCAAACTTGGATGTGAGAATAAAATACATCTTTATTTCACTAACTTTTAAGTAAGATTGAGCATTTTCTTTAATTACTTAAAAATATTATGCTGAGAAGTCCACAGGCTTCACCAGAGTGAAAGGGAAGTCAAGGACACAATCCAAAGATAAGAATCCATTTTAAGGACAGAGCAAAATCTCTAAAAATGCACATTTTTTTTATCGGAGGGTTGTCTGAGTTATCCGAGGGTTCTGTTGGTCCAGATGTAGGCTCAGTTTTGAGTCTGAAGAAAGGAGGAGGAGAAGCACTGGACTTGTATCTCCCTGTGTGTGTGCTCAGCCATGAAAATGCAATTCCTGTGCATACATAATGTACTCGATTTAGGAAATAGAATAAGAAATGGCTTTGACAGGCCCCATTGTTGTTCCATTATAGACATAAGAGATTTGTTGGCTCCACTGATCATCGAGATGTGGCTCTAAGAACTTGGAGCATCATGGGATCTCAGAGGGGGAAACAACACCACCAATCCAGTGGAGAATCCCCTTTACAAGAAAGCATGAGGCCTCCTCTTGAAGATATCAAGCAAGGAGCTACCCCTTCAGGAGATCTGGAAGCAAAGATCTCATCATATAAGGAGACCTCATGTAAGTGAGAAAGGAATAATTGAAACAAAGTTCATTTCTTTATTTTAAAAAATGGTTTTTACTGGTACCATTTGTGGTTTGCTTGTGGCCACCTCATGGGACAATGTGGAGAACTGCACAAGCGAGTAGGGGTGGAAGGGTTGCTATCTTCATGCTGGAGAAAACATTCAAATGGATGAACTCACTGGTCCACTGGAATACTGAGAACTTGTGTGTGTTCATATCCCATTTATTTTTTAAGTATATTCTTTATGCACTTGCCCATTAAGCTCTCAGTCAATCAACAATATTAATTAAATGTTCCAAGTGCTCTAATGGGGATGTAAGTACAAAGAATGAAACGATGCCCACTCCCAAGGAAATTCTCTTCTAAGAGGGGAAACAACAAGGATGTATAGCATAAATATAAAGTGAACAAATACAAATAAATACATTTCAATTGCCACTCACCATCCTTGTGACTTTCCAGACCAAAAGAATTCCTTCCTGCCTTCTACTCCCCTATATGTTGTCTTCCTCTATTAAAATGCAAGAGGCAGGTAGGTGGTCCAGTGGCTAACAAGCATGCTGAAGTCAAGAAGACTCAACTTCACACCTCAGACATTAGCTGTATGTCTCTGGGCAAGTCACTTAATCCTGTTTGCCTCATGTCTAAAAATGATCTTGAGAAGGAAATGGCAACCCACTCCATTATCTTTGCCAAGAAAACCCCAAACGGGGACACAGAGAATCAAGACATGACTGAACAACAACAAATTAAAATGCAAACTTCTTGAGAGTAAGGATTGTCTCATGTATTTTTATTTTCTTAATTTTTCATAGTTCCCAACACAAAGAGATTAAGTGTTTTTGTCTCCCTCCTTCCCCCTCCTCCTTCCTTCCCTCCTTCTTTCCTTCCTCTCTCTCAAGAAATATCAAAGTATTTCAATTAATTCTTACTAGAAATGAAGTCGGAGCAAATGAAAAATTTACATATAAATTTGAAATACAAAAAAAGAAATCTGTGTAGCATCACCCAAGATGAAATGTTTGTTTCAGAAATCATGGGATAAATAAAAATATTCTGCTGGATGCAGAAGCAAGGCTCTTCATCATCTTCCTACACTGGAGAGACTGCTTGGGTACTCTTAATCTTTCCATAATGATGACTTCTACAGTTCTGCAGAGGATGGTATATTCTGAGCTAGGCTAAGACCCATGAAGCATGAAGTTGCAATTTTGATGGCTTTCAACTGGGCCCTCTGCTTTAAACTCACAGCCATCTGATTTGAAAGGGAAATGAGACAAAGGTCCTTCACTTCTCCGTCATGCCCCAATGCTAGTGTCAGAATGTCATTATCAGGGGGGTGTCATTTGAGCACTCAGGGAAATCATTTCAAGTGGATAAATGACTTTATAACACTGTTGTTGACTGACATCTTCCCAATAGTTTTAACTGAGAGTGGAATTGTTGTACTGTCTATTCAACGTGGCTTTGTAGAACATGTGGACTAATGGAAGATAGGTGACAAGGGTTTGGTGACCCTTCGGCAGAAGACTAATGTCTTCCATTGTAGTCACATCCATTGTGCTTCTGATGGGGATCCATTAACTACAAAGTGTTTTTTTGGGTTTTTTCCCTTTAATTTTAGGGAACACTGATAATCTAGAGGGTGCCTACAGGACAATAAAAATATCAAAGGGTTTTCATGACATATAAGGATCAATTGAAATTACTGGGCTGCTCAGCCTGTAGAAGAAAAGATTCAGCAGGAACATGATGCTTTCTTCAGGTACTTAGTTGGTTGTGTGGTATAGGCATGAGATTTACTCTGGTTGGCCCCCGAGCACAAAATTGGGAAAACAGTTAAAAGGTGCAGAGAGGCGGCTCTCACTCATCATAAGGGAGAACTCCTTAATAACCAGACCTATGGAATGGGCTGCATCAGAAGTTGGTGGCTTCCTTCTTATTTAAGGAAAGCTTGGATGACTGCATGTTAGAGATGCTTGATGAGGCATGGGTTGGACTAGATGTCCTCTGAGTCCCCTCCAACTCTGAGTTCCTGAGATGCTTGGAAATCTTGATGCCAATCTATGGAGATTCAGCTTCCAGGTTGTAAGCCTGGCAACTACAGACATGAAAATTCACATTTCTTCTGGGGAAAAGCATCTGGTCGGTGTGATGCAAAGAGTGTTGGACTTGGGGTCAGCAAGGCTTAAAAGAAGACACTAGCTGTTGGCCCTGGGGATAGTAGCAGCACTAAACTTCCAGGGTTGTTGAGATATCAGATAAGATAAATCATATGAAGCACATTGCCACTTTAAGGTGCTATATAAAATAGCCATTAGCAACAGTCGAAAGACGAGGAGGGATGGAGCAGGGACTATGAAGAGGGGAAGAAGGAGGAGTATAGCTCTACAAAGTGTGCTTTCTTGACAGTATAGACTCTCTCAACCATTTCTCCTTCTCTTTAGCATATGAAGGCTTAATAGTTATACTCTGAGCAGGAAAGCTCTGTTCTGAGATTCTTTAAATGAGGAAGATAATGCATTTCTCTTAGGGTGCACTTTAGAAGGACAATACAGGTAGAGAAAGCAGTACATTTAGATGCCCAAGTGCTATTGTTGTAGCACAACTGCTTTTTGTCATACTGAAACATAGGTGTTAAAAAAAAAAAGACATCTCTGGTAGAGAGGGATCAAAAGTGGGAGTCTGGCCATACCGGCTGGGGCGGTACTGTCAGTCACAGAGTCACAGTTTCAGAGTTGGAAGGGACCTAGGCAGCCATCTGGAAAGGAATATACTGGAGCCAATTCCTACCAGCTATTGAAAGATGGTTGTTAAAATTTCAACAGGAGCATATTTATACCTCGGAAATAAGCAAACATCATCCACTGGGGCTTGACATATTGTTTTGCTGATTTCCAAGATTTAGGAAGTGATGAAGAAAATGTTAACAATAGGATTAAATTTAAAAGAGTTTCCTGCTTACATTCCCTGCCCCTGCCCCTGAGAGCTGGTTGTTAAACATTTTCAACACCCACCTCGCATCTAGAACACCTCCTACACAAAAGGAATCCCTGCTCTAACAGACCCAACAAGTGGTCATTCCACCTCTTAGTAATGGCCTCCAGGGACGGTAGAACTCTCTGTCTTCCAAGGTGGTCCATTCCACCTCTAGATAGCTCTTTTGTTGCCATATTAGTCAAATTAACTGAATAATTAATTCAGTAACAGAATGATTAGTAGTTAAGGTATTAGGCTTGTAATCAGAAGACCTGGATTC